GAGAAAGATGATGGCCCTGAAGAAAGAGCCACTAACCCTAGAGAGGGCGTCACCTTGGTGCACTGATGAAAGATGAGCCTACACCACTTGGAGATGAGAGTTTGCTCTGGCCATGTTCAAAGACTGGGTAGGAAGAGTGTGCTTCAGTCATCCAGAATAGCCACAGCAGTGAACGAAGTTGAGGGAAAGCCTGCATTAGATGGGATTCAAATACCATCTGGGGGTTTCATTACAGAAAGTAGAGTGAAGCACCTTGAAATGCGTTCTGTTCCTCATTCTTCTGGTAAAAGTACCAACCATTGAAACTCTGAGCTTCTCTGGAACTGGTGTTGTTAGCCAGATTCCCCTAGTAAAATCTGAACCCTACTCTTCCTGTTATTTGTTTCACACACACAGTCCATTCTTCTGAACTTTTCTTTACAGCCTGAGAGCCTGAAAGGATACATTTCTAACTGACGACAAAGAATCTCATTCAGATCCCTAGAATCAAAATCAAAACGGAAAAGGGAAAGAAAGAGATTAGAAAGAACATTTTGTTTGTTTGTTTGTTTGTTTTGCGGTACGCGGGCCTCTCACTATTGTGGCCTCTCCCGTTGCGGAGCACAGGCTCCGGACGCTCAGGCTCAGCGGCCATGGCTCACGGGCCCAGCCGCTCCGTGGCATGTGGGATCTTCCCGGACCGGGGCACGAACCCGTGTCCCCTGCATCGGCAGGCGGACTCTCAACCACTGCACCACCAGGGAAGCCCAAGAACATTTTTTAAATAAAGGAAAAGAAGAAATAATATGCAGAAAACTTTCTAGACATTACCTAAGTAGCTTTCTACACACTAAGGCCACATTAGTCTCCCCGAAACATTGGTTTTACTATTCCACGACCTTATTCAGAGACAAACTAGTCATTCATGCACTTTAGTCTGGGGTAGTGTAATGGACTGAACTGTGTCCTTCCCCAAACTCATAGGGTGAAAAGGCACTAGAGCTCTCTCTCCACATGTGCTCAGAGGAAAGACTCTGAGAGGACACAGTGGTGAGAAGTCAGCCATCTGCCACCCAGAAAAAGAGTCCGTATCAGAAGCCAACCCTGCTGGCATCTTGATCTTGGACTTTCCAGCCTCCAGAAGTGTGAGCAATAAATTTCTGTTGTCTGAGCCACCCAGTCTGTGGTATTTTGTTATAGCAGCCCAAGTAGACTACACAGAGAGTATGTGGTGTCCACCCTATATGCTTTTTTCTTTTTTTTTTTTTTTTTTTTGCGGTACGCGGGCCTCTCACCGCTGTGGCCTCTCCCGTTGCAGAGCACAGGCTCTGGACACGCAGGCCCCGTGGCCATGGCTCACGGGCCCAGCCGCTCCGTGGCATGTGGGATCTTCCCGGACCAGGGCATGAACCCATGTCCCCTGCATCGGCAGGCGGACTCTCAACCACTGCGCCACCAGGGAAGCCCACCCTATATGCTTTTTTTTTTTTTTTTGCGGTACGCGGGCCTCTCACCGCTGTGGCCTCTCCCGTTGCAGAGCACAGGCTCTGGACACGCAGGCCCCGTGGCCATGGCTCACGGGCCCAGCCGCTCCGTGGCATGTGGGATCTTCCCGGACCAGGGCATGAACCCATGTCCCCTGCATCGGCAGGCGGACTCTCAACCACTGCGCCACCAGGGAAGCCCACCCTATATGCTTTTTTTTTTTTTTTTGCGGTACGCGGGCCTCTCACCGCTGTGGCCTCTCCCGTTGCAGAGCACAGGCTCTGGACACGCAGGCCCCGTGGCCATGGCTCACGGGCCCAGCCGCTCCGTGGCATGTGGGATCTTCCCGGACCAGGGCATGAACCCATGTCCCCTGCATCGGCAGGCGGACTCTCAACCACTGCGCCACCAGGGAAGCCCACCCTATATGCTTTTTTTTTTTTTTTTGCGGTACGCGGGCCTCTCACCGCTGTGGCCTCTCCCGTTGCAGAGCACAGGCTCTGGACACGCAGGCCCCGTGGCCATGGCTCACGGGCCCAGCCGCTCCGTGGCATGTGGGATCTTCCCGGACCAGGGCATGAACCCATGTCCCCTGCATCGGCAGGCGGACTCTCAACCACTGCGCCACCAGGGAAGCCCACCCTATATGCTTTTTTTTTTTTTTTTGCGGTACGCGGGCCTCTCACCGCTGTGGCCTCTCCCGTTGCAGAGCACAGGCTCTGGACACGCAGGCCCCGTGGCCATGGCTCACGGGCCCAGCCGCTCCGTGGCATGTGGGATCTTCCCGGACCAGGGCATGAACCCATGTCCCCTGCATCGGCAGGCGGACTCTCAACCACTGCGCCACCAGGGAAGCCCACCCTATATGCTTTTTTTTTTTTTTTTGCGGTACGCGGGCCTCTCACCGCTGTGGCCTCTCCCGTTGCAGAGCACAGGCTCTGGACACGCAGGCCCCGTGGCCATGGCTCACGGGCCCAGCCGCTCCGTGGCATGTGGGATCTTCCCGGACCAGGGCATGAACCCATGTCCCCTGCATCAGCAGGCGGACTCTCAACCACTGCGCCACCAGGGAAGCCCACCCTATATGCTTTTGAGCAGTCTCTCCAGTTGTCTGTATCTCTCCCTAATTCTCAGTCCAGGTACCATCTACTTGTATGTTTATGAATTCTAACACCCATACCTCTGTGTGTGATGCCCCTCATGCTTGTTAATGCTTTTTTCTGCCTAAATGTTGAATCTTACCCATTTCTCAAGTTCCATCAGAGCTCCTGGTTGAGTCCTCTGGGTAGCCTTTCTCCTTCACCCCAGGTGGGCCCAGTGTTCCCTCCTCTGAACTACTGAACTTCCTGTATGTACTACTGACCTGACCTTCATCACATGCTGTTAGTATTTCTCTAAGAGGAAGGTCAGCTCCCTTAGCAAATTTTTCTTACAATCTGTGTTCATCATAACCAAATATGGAACACAAAGAAAAACACATAGTAAAGAAATACCACTTTTATTAGGCCACCAGTAGTAAGACCATCCGATAAACACTTCCAAAAATAAAATCCTTCCAGTCTTTTTCTTTTAGGTTTTGTGCATGTATGTATATAGAATCTAACTCTACATGCTTTATAGTATGCTTCTTTCATTTAGTATATCTTGAACATCTTTATTGTCATTCTTTCTAAAGTTGATTTTAATTATGATATTCCAACCTATACACTATAATTCATTTAACCAACTCCCTATTGATAAGTGTTTATTTCTAATCTATCTATGTTATAAATAGCCCCATGATAATTATTCTTACCAAACAAACTTTGCATAAATTCATGAAAATATCCTTGGGATAAGGTTCTAGAAGTGCATTTTCTTATGATTTGTATAGCCACATGGTCCTCCAAAAAGTTTTACTTCCATCGACATGAGAGTGCCCATTTCTCTATAAACCTAAGTAAAGCTTGATATATTTTCAAATGTTTTGCCAGTTGGAAGTATGCATTTAATGAGAACATAGATCATGTGTGATTTTATTCCTCCTATTGCTACAGGTTAACCTGTCAATTATACTGCACTATAAAGTTTTCAAACTCTTTTCACACACATAAATTAGGATAATACTTTACAGCATCTAGCACAGTGCCCTTTATGTACAAAGTTCATAAAAAATTATATGATCATGGAATAATATGTATGGCATGCCTTTTATATGCTACATGAGAGTCACATAAATCAAAAAGTCATTCTTTCACCAGGTATATGTAATTTTTGTAAAAGTTATGGTAAGTTTTTGCTATCCTGAGTCTGACAGGCTATCTTTAATCCTCGTCCCTGCTCTACTTTTTATTTATTAATCATTTCATATTCCCTCACTAATGTATCAGTTCTAGTTGCAATGGTTATGTGCATCTTAAGACTTAACATCTGCAATATAAACTCTGTGATTTTCAAAGAAACCAGCAAGGAAGAAACATTTCAGGTTTGTTATAGAAACTGTTCTAGGGTGTTCTCTCCTGAAAACGTTTCACTCATTTTAAAAAATCACTTTCCTTTTTCTTCCCCATGTGTATGAAGTTCCTTTACTTGTATTCCTAGTTTTGAATTTATTGTCTGCATTTTTCTGTCTTCTTTCTCAAATACAGCAAATCGGTTGTCAACTTCTGAGATGCAATTGCTTTCACAGTTCTTATTCAAAGTCCTTGTCAAAGAGAAGTGGTCTCCATCACACTTTGAAATCACCAACCTTCAGGGGCACAACTCCTCTGAGGTGCCCCTGCCACTCTAGGTGCCCCCATCAGCCTCCATGAACTCCTCCAGGCCTGCCTGTTGCACTGTCTTGCCTTTCCCTCCATCTCCCACCAACATCTCACCTTTATGTGACTTCCTCTTGTCCCAGAAAAAATTATAAAAACATTTCACAAATAATAAAGCCAAACAACTATTATAAGATATCACTGCAACAAATAAGACTTTTAAAAATTCTACCCAAATCCATTTATTAGGTACCTAAAGTTTTCATTTAGAGACTAAGACAAAATGTCAACTTTTAGAATTGTATCATTGATACTGCAAACAATAAATGAACTGCTACTCATCTTTTCTTTAGTCAATGTTTTAATTCTGGAAAGTGGAAAGTTTGCCACAGTTCCAGGAATCTGGGTGACAAGAATATGATAGATTTCCTCTAGTGAATACTGTTGTTTTCCCCACGGGGAACATATCCAGTGAATAATCACTCTTCTGTGAACTAGGTTTAAAATGGAACAGGAAAACTATTTTAAATTATCTTAAAGTTTAGATTTACTCTAAACTTGGGTGCAATGAGTTTAATTGTCATTGTTCTCTGCTGACCAAGTGTCATATTCTGATGCACACATTATGTCAGACAGCATTGGACTCCACCCTGTGAGGAAAGTATTACTCCCATTTTAGAGATGGGAAAATGAGATTTAGAGAGGTAAAATAATTTGCCTGACCTAACAATCTATAAATGTCAGAGCTGGAATTTGAAAACAAGCCTATAAAACACTCTCCTCTCACACTAGGTTTACCTCTGAAATAGTTTTGCCCCGGGCATAAGTGCCATCTTCAGGTCTGCCTCCATTTAGGTAAATCCACGCTCGTTTTGCATTGGGCTGCTTATACAAGCTGCTCCTCTTGAATGACATACATTTAGGTGCAGTTGGAGAATTTCTCTTGGATTGCAGTTCTTGGACTTCAGAAAGCTGTGCCTGTTAAGAAAAGCCCAGAGAATGCCATGGTTAGAGAATTGTCTGGTTAGTGTGTATGCGTGTGTGTCTCTGTGTGTGTGTGTGTGTGTGTGTGTGTGCATGTGTGTGTAGAATATGCTGAAAGAAATATAATTGTACATCATACTGAAAAAAGATTTAGGAATTACATTACCCTCTCCTATCACTGACTCTTCTGTAAATTCCCCTTGCTTCAATGCATCACTGTAAGCAATAATAATCATTAGAGTAGTAATAATAAGGCACTTATTTTGGCAAAGCACTTAACTTTCATTTATAATTTGGAGAAATAAATAGAGATATGTTTTTGGATTTTTGCATGGCGTTTCTCCTACTGAGTGATTTCTCTGCATCTAACAAATGAGTTTTTGATTAGAATCACAGCATCATTTCCTTTAACCAAGAAATGCTTAAGGGAATGTACATGACTATTGTTTAAATCTTTACTCTCTGTCTTTTAAAATACAGCAGCCACCTTTATATTCTGCCAGATCCCTGCCAGGCAGCTTTTCATCCTACTTCAAGCATGTCCTAGTTCAATGCTTGGCATTCATTCCCTGGTCAGTGATTTATCCTTCTTAGCTTGGCAAGAAGTCATATTTCTAGCAATGTCAATTTCTTTTTTTTCTAGTAACCTTGACTTGGGCACACGCCTAAGATTTAGATTGAACACATTTCATGATTTGAGAAACCCTATTAAATAAGAACACATCATTTTGATGAAAAACTTCACAAAGCAAAAAGTTTTCCCAGGTCTCTCTATCCCCAATCCTCTCTCACCAGCTGACCTTTCTCTTCTCAACTTTTTTATGTCTGGCAATCCTGTCTGATTAATCAATTGGATTGAAACTGCTTTTTGAATTCCTCACTTCTGAATGTCTCCACTGAAATTAGTATTTTGCTCCTTCCTCTTTTTACATATTGAGACATACCCTTAGGAGTGATGAGCAATGAAGCCATAAGGCTCAACTTGACTACATTTATTATAATTACCTTTGTACATATCCACTGGGCCTTTTTCTCTTCTTTGCTAAGGTCATAATTTCTGGTCTCCATTCAAACAAAACAGACTTTCATATGAGCTGGCTGTGGCTTAGACAGTTACTCTCCAAATGCCAACTCAATGCTTGGCATATGCTTACGTGGTCATTACTGACCAGATGCCGAGAATATATTAATAGCATAATTTAAAAATTCAATACTGTACTTTTAAAAGCTTATAAAAGAGCCTGAGTCTTTAATGTCTGGAGTCCTAAAGATCATACCTCTGTACGTCTTATAAGGTCCATGAGTTTAATTTCCTCTTGAGTCTGCTTAGTCCAGCCTCCTTCCACTACCACCGGCTGCACAGGGCTTTTGTTGGGAACCATGGTGGCTGGCTGACATGCTGCTACCCGCCGCCCTGGGGAAAGAAGTCTCTGGAAATGTTTCTGATGATAGGCTTTCAGATTTCAAATAAATTGGTTTGGCTTTCTATGCATAAATCATTTCACTTGGGAGCAGAGGGTAAAATACTAAATATATCATAAAAGCAAAGATGCCTAAGGTAATAAGATCTAACATGTCTCTTCATAAGGGAGCTTGAGGCTTTAAATAGCCAGGATATGCATACTCAGTGTACAGATGGAAAAGAAAGATAACACGCTGACTTCCACACTGGCCCCAACCTCTCATCCACGATATGGTTCAGCGGTAATTTAGTCAAATAGAATCCATGACCTATATAGCCCATCATCTCTTCCAGTCATGGAACATATGTTTTGTTCTCTTCACTAATAATAAGCCTTTCCCCCACAATTAGTTTAGCAGCCTGGGGATTAAGTATTTCTAAAATAATATTAACCCAAGAGACAGGAGGCCCTTTTTTTTTCCTATCTAATAATACTCTGCGAACACGATTAGTTTCTGACACCTCTGCTGTGTCCTCTGGGCTCTTAAGAAGCTGTGGTAAGAGAAAATATTTATCGGAATGGTGTATTCTAAAGAATCACAGGCATACGTTAATAAGTGTGGTGATTTGAATTTATGCATTCTTTCAGCTAGACCACTTTAAATCATTATAAAAGAGGTTTAAAGGTCACACTTATTAAATTGTTTTCTTTTTCTAGGTTGAAGATATACTGAGCACTGAGTCTCAGACTGATCACGAAACTTCTTAAGTACAAATAATGCTTTCTCTTGGATGTTCCTTCTAGAAACCTATGTTGAACACCAGGTATGAGTCAGGCATTGTGCTGGATGGTGCAAATACAAACATGTTCGAGACTAAGTCCTTGCCTCAAAGGCTTACACTTTGGTAAGGAAGGCAAATGTCAAGGAAATGATTACACCAATAACTGATTGTAACTGTGTTGCACCATAGAAGTAAAGGGTGTGCAAAAGCATGTAAAACAGGTTGCTGACCTAGTCTGAAGTGTCAGAAAAGGCTTTTTTGAGAAAGTAACACTTAGGTGGATAAAATAATAGAAATACTGAAATGACGTTAAGCCCTAATTTTGTTGCCAGGAGACTTATAATGTGCAGGTTTTCATACCGTGACTATGAACAAAACCTTTTGAAAATAACTCAGTATTTGTAGAGGATAACGCATTTGTGCTCTTATAGCTCAAGTTTGTGGAAATAGACCCAGCAATAAAAATAGGTGGCAGAAATGACTTTTCAGGGAAATCAGAATTCTAGGTACCTAATAAGCATTCATATGCAATTTATGGTTATGGAGAAATTGAATTAACAGCCAATGAGTTACAGTGACAATGCCATTAGGCAACATGTTTTGGAGAAGAGCACAGTGGCACCAGAAAAATACATAACACAAATTTATGCCAAATATAGTTTTCAGCTGACTCTATTCATAATGTACAGACAACATTAATTTATTAATTTATCTGCATAAATTCTTGTGGATAACATCTCAATAAATATTTTATTTATAATGCATTTTGAACACTAAAATTTTGCTCAACTAAAGACAGTTCTCCAATAGTTTATCATTTACACTGTTAAGAGCCAGGATTTGAATATAAGAAAGAGGAAAAAACATATGCATTATTGGTTTTTGTCAACTTGTTCCTAATGGTCTTAAGAAAATGAAAGCATTTGCACTCTAACTTTTATAAAGGGACATAATATCTTCACAAAAGATTTTCATAATAAACTATCATTTATGTAGGTAAGAATAACGAATAGAAACGAAACAAAAATGTATTGAATAAATTACTTTTTATTTTCTTATTACATTTTCCATATATTCCATTTTATTTCACATGTGATTGGTGGGGGAGGGGGGAAGATAATATCTAACTATTAATGGGGAAAACTAGAGAACGTGAGTATTTGCTGTTCTTTCAGACTATAAATCTCACCTGGACAGCTCTCCTCATACCTCTCCTCTATTGGGAGGGCCCATCCTGGTTCAGCACCATATGTGCCTGAAAGGATTAGTCCACCTCACTTGGGGTTTCAGTTAGCAGATCCATTTAGCTCTCACACTAAATAAAATGTTCCAGCATTGCCTTTATATGTAACAAAGGTGATACTTTGGCCTGATCTGCCATCCCTCAGTTTTGTTTATCTGTTTTTAAGATCCCAACTGGGAAAATGGACTGCCTGTTCTAATGTTTACTGAATATTCATTCTGTACTAAGCATGTAGTAAATATTTGACATTTGTAACTTAATCATAAAAACCCCACAAAGTTATTACTACAATTTCATTAATATTAGCAATGATCATGCTTACAAATGAAGTGTAAAATCAGCTTACCATAGTACTTTGTACACCGTATATGCTCAATAAAAATTTGCTGTATTTACCAATCCTTATAATAATACGATATAATTGATTTGGTCACTGTTCATACCTCCCAAAACTCCTCTTTCATCCAATGCTCAAGAAGTTCACAATCCACAGGCAGACCTGTGGAACCCCAATCCTGAGTGGGCCACAATCCAAGGGCTAGAAACCTGATTCCTTTCTGACTTGCCCATCATCCAGCCATGTGGATGACAGGGTCTTGGTGCACTGGCCGGGTGTCAGGCCTGAGCCTCTGAGGTGGGAGAGCCGAGTTCAGGACATTAGATCACCAGAGACCTCCCGGTCCAACGTAATATGAGTTGCTGAGAGCTCTCCCAGAGCTCAATGCTAAGACCCAGCTCCACTCAATGGACAGCAAGCTACAGTGATGGACACCCCATGGCAAACAACTAGCAAGACGGGAACACAACCCCACCCACTGGCAGAGAGGCTACCTAAAATCATAGTAAGTTCACAGACACCCCAAAACACACTGCCGGACGTGGTCCTGCCCACCAGAAAGACAAGATCCATCCTCATCCACCAGAACACAGGCAACAGTCCCCTCCACCAGGAAGCCTACACACCCACTGAACCAACCTTAGCCATGGGGGCAGACACCAAAAGCAATGGGAACTATGAACCTGCAGCCTGCGAAAAGGAGACCCCAAACACCATAACTTAAGCAAAATGAGAAGACAGAGAAATATGCAGCAGATGAAAGAGCAAAGTAAAAACCCACAAGACCAAAGAAATGAAGAGGGAATACGCAGTCTACCTGAAAAACAGTTCAGAGTAATGATAGTAAAGATGATCCAAAATCTTGGAAACAGAATGGAGAAAATACAAGAAACGTTTAACAAGGACCTAGAAGAACTAAAGAGCAAACAAACAATGATGAACAACACAATAAATGAAATTAAAAATTCTCTAGAAGGAATCAACAGCAGAATAACTGAGGCAGAAGAATGGATAAATGACCTGGAAGATAAAATAGTGGAAATAACTACCACTGAGCAGAATAAAGAAAAAAGAGTGAAAAGAAAGGACAGTCTCAGAGACTTCTGGGACAACATTAAATGCACCAACATTTGAATTGTAGGGGACCCAGAAGAAGAAGAGAAAAAGAAAGGGACTGAGAAAATACTTGAAGAGATTACAGTTGAAAACTTCCCTACTATGGGAAAGGAAAGTGTCAGTCAGGTCCAGGAAGTGCAGAGAGTCCCATACAGGATAAAGCCAAGGAGAAACACCCAAGACACATATTAATCAAATTATCAAAAATTAAATACAAAGAAAAAATATTAACAACAGCGAGGGAAAAGCAACAAATAACACACAAGGGAATCCCCATAAAGTTAACAGCTGATCTTTTAGCAGAAACTCTGCAAGCCAGAAGGGAGTGGCAGGATATATTTAAAGTGATGAAAGGGAAAAACCTACAACCAAGATTACTCTACCCAGCAAGGATCTCATTCAGATTCAACGGAGAAATTAAAACCTTTACAGACAAGCAAAAGCTAAGAGAGCTCAGCACCACCAAACCAGCTTTACAACAAATGCTAAAGGAACTTCTCTAGACAGGAAACACAAGAGAAGGAAAAGACGTAGAATAACAAACCCAAAATGATTAAGAAAATGGTAATAGGAACATACATACTGATAATTACCTTAAATATAAATGGATTAAATGTTCCAACCAAAAGACATAGACTGGCTGAATGGATACAAAAACAAGACCTATATATATGCTGTCTATAAGAGACCCATTTCAGACCTAGGGACACATACAGACTGAAAGTGGGGATGAAAAAAGGTATTCCATGCAAATGGAAATCAGAAGAAAGCTGGAGTAGCAATTCTCATATCAGACAAAATAGACTTTAAAATAAAGACTATTACAAGAGACAAAGAAGGACACTACATAATGATCAAGGGATCAATACAAGAAGAAGATATAACAACTGTAAATATTTATGCACCCAACGTAGGAGCACCTCAATAAATAAGGCAAATACTAACAGCCATAAAAGGGGAAATCGACAGTAACACAATAATAATAGGGGACTTTAACACCCCACTTTCACCAACGGACAGATCATCCAAAATGAAAATGAATAAGGAAACACAGGCTTTAAATGACACATTAAACAAGATGGACTTAATTGATATTTATAGGACATTCCATCCAAAACAACAGAATACACTTTCTTCTCAACTGCTCATAGAACATTCTCCAGGATAGATCATATCTTGGTTAACAAATCAAGCCTTGGTAAAGTTAAGAAAATTGAAATCATATCAAGTATCCTTTCACAACACAACACTATGAGACTAGATATCAATTACAGGAAAAAAAAACTGTAAAAATTACAAACACATGGAGGCCAAACAATACACTACTAAATAACCATGAGATCACTGATGAAATCAAAGAGGAAGTCAAAAAATATTTAGAAACAAATGACAATGAAACCACAATGACCCAAAACCTATGGGATGCAGCAAAAGCAGTTCTAAGAGGGAAGTTTATAGCAATACAATCCTACCTCAAGAAACAAGAAAAACTCAAATAAACAACCTAACCTTACACCTAAAGCAGTCAGAGAA